TTGTTTTTTTTTTTTTTTTTTTTTTTTTTTTGTACCAGGGGTTGAACTTTGGTTCTTGCGAGCAGTCTTGAGGTAACATTATAGGATAGGCACTATTCTTGTACCAAATTTGCAAATGAGAATTTCAAGATCTGGAAGTTAATAAACCTGCCCAAGGTCACTCAACCAGATAGTAGAAGCACTAGAATTTGAATATATGTCTCTCTGACCTTGACTGTGAGACACTGATGGCCCCAGGCAGACTCCTGGTTTTCTTTTCAGAGGATGCATAAGTCAGAGCAGACCCATGACCACCTGGCCCAGAGGTGAATGCTCCAGAAAATGGGTGACTTGCTCCCACAGCAGAAGTGGCTCTGAAACAAGTCCAGAATCCCAAGAAGGCCAGCCCTAGTCACCAACAATGGCCCAACATAGAAGTCTTACAGGGGAACAGATGGTGCTTTCTGCAGAAGAGAACAGCAGCCCAGAGCAGCTTCCCAGTTAGTGATGATGACATCCTCCCAGTGTCATTATGTCCCAAGGACATCTGATAGTGAGAGAGTCATCTGAAGCTCATGCCTGCTCCCTCATGGCATCCTCTCACCACAGTCCTGACACGGTTTATGACACTGGACATGACCAGTGTCTTCCAAGTCCTCCTCTGCTTCCCTCACTGCCTCATCTCTCCACTCACCAGCTCCTCGGCTCTTCCTGGGCTGAACTCACTCAGAATGATCAGGCCTGGGCTCAACAAGCTTGGGGATAAGGACATCCCCCACACTGCACAGGGGCCCCTCAGCAGAAACAGCATCCTGTCTGAGTCCCCACATACCCCTCTCCCCCACCTCCACCTCTCTCTTGTGATTTCAATTTTGCCTTCAGTTTCTAGTAGTGATTGAGTATAAACTGTTTAGCCTGGCCTGAGCCCAGCCCTTGGGGTGAATTGGAGAGTAAGATTGACACAATCCCATTTCTCTAGAAGCTTTCTGTCCAGTCATGGAGACAGACATTAAATGAATAATTAATTATAACTGGAATGAATACACCAAAGCTACGGAGGGGAAGTCCTGGGAGTAGGAGAATACAGGATGCGAGGCTAGGCAGGCAAGCGGAGGCTTTGCTGAGAAAATGACACTCAAGTTGAAATCTGAAGAACAAGTCAAACCTCATTAGCAGGACAGGGATGGGGAGGAGCAGGGCAGAATGTTTTCTGACAGAAAGACTTGGGTCTGCAAGGAGCTCTGTGGGTTAGTCGTAGGTCTGGAAGAGGCAAAGGTACCAGCAAAGCAGTGAGCAAAGGCTGAAAGTATCTAAGCCATGAGAACATGTGAGACTTTAGCTACAAGAACCCAGCAAGAAGAGATATGTTTTTAAAATGAGCATTTCAAGGTCAGAACTGCATTTTTAAAGATCCTCTCTGATTGCATTTTGGAATACTGAGTTAGATGAGGTGGCAGGAGGGTGGGGAACTGGATGATACAGGAAAACCAGCTCAACAGATTTTAGTGGAAATTCAGGAAGAAGATGATGAGAACAATGTTTCTGGTGATGGAAGAGGGAAAGAGGAGCTCAGACTCAGGGCAGTGGCAGGGCTGGAGAGAAGTAGAGACATTCAAGTGGTCAATCACAGCACATGGCAATTGATTTAATTCAGGAGAGCAAGAGAGAGGAAAGTAGCAGAGATAATTCCCAGGTTCTGGCAAGAGCTAGTCCTCCTCCTCCACATCTCCTCAATATGCTATCTCCATCTCTTTTCCCAGCTCATCAAAGAAACAGAGTGCAGGCAACCCAGATGATAGAATATTGTAGCATTAATGCTATTTTTTGCACATAGAAACCTGGAGATAAAAATCTCTCTGCTCATTATGTAAGAAGTGATAAATGTCATGAGATAGGCTTGCTGTAGCACTGGCTTCCCATTTGTTTCTGTTAAACCCCAACACCTGCGCTTGCTCCACAGCACCTCAGAGGTGGGAGGAGCTTCCCTCTGGCCACCTTACAGGACTATGTTCTCAGAAAGAAGATTCTTTGTGCAGGGAGGAAAGATCATGCAGATTTATCTTACATTTTGGTTTGAAAAAGTTTGTGCTGACTTCTGTTTAAGCATTTCTCTCTCCTTTTCTTCTAAATTGAGATACAACCCACATGCTATTAAAAATTCCCTCATTTAAAGTATCCAATTTAATAGTTTTTAGGGTGTTTTCATCATCATCATCAATTTTAGGATAATTTGTGACCCCAGGAAAACAACACACCCCATACTTATTAAGTCCCCTCCTATTTATCCCTAGGCCCTCCCTTTACCAGCCCCAAGCAAACCACTGCATCTATATGTGCACATACTCTGAATATTTTAGATGGATGAAATCATACCTTATGTGGTTTCTTGTGTCTGGCTTCTTTCTCTTAGCCTGATATTTTCACAGTTCATCTATCTTACAGCATGTATCTGTACATCATTTACCTTTATGGCTAAATAATATTCCATTGTATAACCATGCTATTTGTCTACTCATTCCTCATCAGTAGATGGAAATTTAGGTTGTTTCCATATTAGGGTTATTGTGAATAATGTTTCTATGAACATTCTGCAAAGTTTTTGCTTGAACATATGTTTTCAGTTCTCTTGCATGTATAACCAGGAATCAGATTGCTGGGTTTTTGAAAGTTTCTTGAAGGCAAAGATCATACCTGCTTTTGATTCATGTGCCTTTGAACAAAATGTGCTAGACATATCTTTACGAAGAAGATAAAAGTACTGTTTGAGAGCCTGCAGTTTTAAAGACTGAAGGAATGAACCTGTAAATATGCTTTCTTGCAAATACACATATTAGTTACAGCCATAATGTAGAAGAAGGATTTAGGAAGCAACATGTGAAAAAAAAAAAAAAAGCATAATGAGCATAGTGAGACCTGAGAGTAAAGGCAAAAGAGTGGAAGATAACCAAGAAGATCTTGGGATTAAAACAGACCAGGGTCTTGAAAGCGCCACTGAGGTAGCTCTCATCATTGCTTACTGCTTCAGTACCCTGAAATAGCTCAGGCAGCTTCAACTACCCCTAGTACTTGCAGGTCAGAGCAGAGATTTGAGAAAAACTGCTGTAACAATTCAGAGTTTAGGGTCATTCCATACCTCCTGCCAGAAACTGCAGGCAGATCGCAAGTCAACAGGACAACAATAGCTCTGTGTGAACTAGGCACACTGCAGAGAGACAACCTGAGCTCCCCAGGAAGGAGAGGGAAGGCGACACCCAAAGAGCAAAGTAAGAAACATAAATATATACATAAGCAGACCAACTTACTCCTCTCCCAGGGATAAAGACTTCAGAATCAGCACAGTGAAGACACCAGGATCCTCATAGTTAGCGATATACCAGCAACAGATACAACAAAATCACTGGCCTCTTACACAGCTACATCAGGCAGGGAGAGAAGACTTGAAACTAGAGTCCCTGTGCATGGGACTCTCAGGAACACTGAGAGCAAGATATGTCTGTGATGACTCCACCAGGCAGAAACTCCACCTGCATTATCTTCTCATCAATGTAGGTGAGGACCAGAGATTCGCAGAGCCCCATAGATCCAGCTTCTGGTTGGTGCTGGGCACCTTTGGCCCTGAGATACAAATTAGAAGGCTTCAGGGGAGTGAATCTGTCAGGGTTCACTTCAGAAACACATAGCATATATGTGGTTATGTAAGGAATTTACAAGGTAGGCTTACGTACAGTGGCTACCTGCAGAATCAGAAAGGGTGGAGGAATGGAAAGCAAAGCGGCTGTCTGCATGGTGGAGAGCAGAGGATCCAGTCAAAGATCTAAGGCCTGAAGCTCACTGCAGAGTCCAGTGTGAGTCTGTGTTGGAAAGCCCCAGAGTTTGGGTTGGAAGGCTGAAGAGTCCATACTACAAGCCTGAAGGAACTGAAGACAAATATCCAAAGGCAGTGAAGAAGACTAAAGCTTGTCTGAAGAAGAAAAGGAATACTTCCTTCTTCTTTCCCCTTTTATTCTGCCTGGGCCTAACCAGTCTCTTGGTTGGTGCCACCCACCTCTGGGGTGGGTTTACCCTCCTCGCTTCACTGCCTATATGTTGATCATCTACAGACACACCCAGAGATTTACTAGTCTGCTGGACTGTGCTTACTCAAGTCGAGTTGACATATCACAAATAACATCACAAGGTAGAAATAGCAACTTCCATTGATTTCCATTAAGCATATTGCGATCACAATCTCAAACACATTTCTACACAGAGTAAAATCTAGGAATCCAAGTGGTCTCTTCTGAGTTTCTGCTATATTCCCATATCCATTTTCTTGCTTTTGATGCATATTTGATGTGTCTCATTAAAATTAAAATTATGCAGTGAGGTCAGATCTGAAGCCTTTTAAGCTCCTCTTCCTGGGACTGTAAAAGAAACATATTGGGTCAGGATTGGTGGATAATGAAATTCTTCCAGTCTCAGAGCAGGGACTGGAATTTCAACACCAACCATCAACAGAAACACAAACATCCAGATAGGATCGAAGAAAATATCTTATAGTCAATTACTCACTTTGTGTTCAAGTTCTTGATATCCTCAAGTAAGCATGGGCTGACTAGTTTCCCTACAGCAGGATGAACTAGAAAGCTGGTTTAGACCTCAAGCTTGTCAGGGAGCTAAGAGGAAGCTGAATACCTGGAACAAAACTGATAAAGCTGCTTACAGCTCCCCAGTTATCACATTTGTGATGCAGGTGCTGAACTACACCACAAATACTAGAATCGTGGGTTGGCACATTGACCCTGTGAAAGCCAACTGGCACTGGGAAAAACCAAGGGGAGAAGCTCTGAACCTCTGTGACTCTTAGGTATGTATGTTCCTCTATATTTGAGCACCGCCTGTCCACTTTGCTTTAAGGTTTTATCTCTCACTGAAGCCTTTAGCTTCTTTCCCAAGTTTTGAATCACCATAGGTTGTTTTGCAGCAAGTGGATGGAGGGAGGAGGAAAAAAAATCTGTTACCAGCTCAAGTACATTTTGCTCTGTTAATCAGCATTTTAAAACATTATCTTTTCCATTTCTTAGAGAAGTTGGCAGAGGCTCCGAACTGTTTTGAGAAAATGTAACCACCAGACCATCTGGGGCTGACATTTTCAACATGGCAGTCAGGAGAGCTCATCTCAGGAGCTCCATGGATGTTGAGGAGGACCGAGCTTCTGCAGGATCCCTGTGACTTGGCCTGGGGCAGATAGCAGCTTTTCATATGCAGGCATCCTTAGAACTGAGCACTCTGACCTCCAGCTTCCCTGAGGCTCCCTCCCCAGCTCCTCCCACCTCCCAGAGATGCAAGATCTCTGAAATTGTATCTTGTAACACTAGTAATAGATGTTGACTCTGAGAATATCAAAATGCCCTCCAAGTTTAAAGATCCATTCTTGTTAAATAAAACTTAGGACCACGAGAGACAAAGATGAAAGCACATATATATGTTTACATGTGAAGCAAGACTGATTGTTTCACTAACAAGACTGGGGAATTAAGATTTCTTAATAATTCGGTCAGCCAAGGGCAGTTAAGGGAATTGCAAAGAACTGCTTAGAATCACTGCCATATCTCTCCAGACCTCCTAAACACTAGCAGAGCCAAAGTCTACCTAATAGTTATTACAGCTGCTGGAATTGGGTCTCCCAGAGCTGCAGACCTTCTCCTTGTTAACCATGAAACGGTCCTCATGGATACCAGCCAGCCCATGTCAAGACACAGATGACTGACCACCACCGTGCTTAATTATTTCCCAGGCACATTACTTACCTTTATTTAGGTTCATGCCATATACTTCATAGCAAGTGAAGCATTCTTTTACCAGGCTCATTTTCCAAACAACAAGGAATTTCTTTATGTTTATTTTTACCACTAGCATTCATCTTTCCCACCTAAAATTAACACAGTTGAAATAAGAATTAGATGATCCCTCAGGAAAGTATGGGAGGTACCATGCCGTCATCCCCTTGATCTTATTCCTCAATCATTAGCCATTAGAATGCAAGATAAGAACAGGGTAAATCAAACTGTGTCAAAAAGAATAGCCCACTTTCATGTTTTTCCATGCTGAGAAAAAGAAATTTAACTCTAAGGTGGTAATTTCAGTTTTTAAATAGGGGGAAATTCTTCTAAAAAAACACACTTATTGGGTGTGTACCCTGTGCCTAAGATTGTACCAAAGGTTGTGATACTGTGCCAAATTCCTGTCTCAGTGAGTTGCCTTCCTGGCAGGGACATTCTGTGGTAGCCAACCCATAATATGAAGGGCATTTTCTAAGAAAGAAGTGTGCATACCCCAGATGACCTTGGGGTACGTATGGCACCAGCTTGCTTGCCCCAACCCTCAGTGTTGGGGATGAGACCTTGGGCCTTGTGCATGCTATGTAAGCACCAAGCTTCATCCCCAACCAGAGCTGGCGTTTGAAGGAAGAGTGGGAGTTACTTAGCCTAGGAAATACAGGAAGCAAAATGCAAGTAAAGGGAAGACCACGTGGGCTTTCTCAGAGGCGCTAAATAGGGTAAACTTCAAGTATGTAGGAGGATCTAAAGACAAGAGTGCATGTGGAAAAGAGGTGGAAAAGGAAGTCAGAGAGTTTGGAAAGGGACCTTGTGCTCTACAAGCAAAGGCACAGAACACTATCTACTGGGGCTGGGGATTAGCTCAGTGGTACTGCAACTGCCTCACAAGTACACGGTCCTGAGTTTGTTCCCTAATACCAAAATAAATAAATAAAAAGAATAGTATCTACCGATGTGCTAAATACTTAAAGTAATAGAAAGCATTGTGAGAGGCTTCAACATCCGAGTTCCAAGCTCAGATTTGTGTTCAGAAAGGTCACTAGAGCAGCCAGAGGGAGGGAGGATTCCAGATGAGAGCAGAGCAGAAACTTGAGGATGCACAAAGAGACTATGAGGAATTGGGGATGCATCTGAGGCACCCGACTCATTGCTCCAGGTCACTTTGTGACGACCCCTCCCCTCTCCCCAGCCCCAGCTTCCTATCTTCATAGTCTTTCCTTTTGCGGAATATCTTGTAAATGAAATCGTCTGGTCATGAGCTTTTTGAGTGTCACTTTTTTCATTTAGTATAATGCATCTCAGATTCATCCACATTGTTGCAGGTATCAATTGTTCCTTCTTTTTTATGGTTATAGCCACAGTAGGATATAACACAGTTTATTTATTCATTCTCTAGCTAAGGACATTTGAATTGTTTCCAATTTTTTTGGAGATGATGAATAAAGCTATTATAAATATTCATACACAGGTTTTATGAGAATATAACTTTCTTCAAACTCAGGTAAATACCTATGACTGGGATTCCTGGATTGCATGATAAGTGTATATTTATTTTTTAAAACTGCCAATTTTTTTTCAAAAGTAGCTGTACTGTTCCACATTCCCCCACTTAAAATGTCAAATAATTCCAACTGCTCTCTATCCTTGTAAACTCTTGGAATTGTCATGTTGCTGTTGTTCATTCTAGGCAAAGCACTGAGTATATAGTTATATTTCATTGTGGTTTTAATTTGCATCTTCCCAATGATTTATAGTGTTGACTCTCCCTAGACTGGAAGCATTGATTGGCACACAGTAATAGGTACTCAATAAGTATCTCTTGCCTAAATAAACTAATATCACTATCTTTGTCATCACTATTTTTTCAAGAAAAGATAAGAAACTGTGCTAAAGAGTGGCAATTATATAGAAGAAATATTAAGGGGAAAGAAGTGATGTTTCTGGGTGACTGATGTAGGAATAAGTGAGACTCTCCTACTTCTCACTTGGGCCACCTGGTAAATCTGACTCCTGCTGGTGTGGTAGGGAATATTGGAAGGTGAGAAAGAAGAGGTGAATTCCAGTTTTGGATAGGGTCAGCTGGAGATAATCAGGAGCAATCAAGTGTACAGTCATGTGTGCCCGGGGAGAAACTTTGCCTTGCTTGTTATTGTACTGCTAGCACTTACAGATTTTGGAATTCATGGCACATCTTCTTTGTTGATCTTTTCTCATTTCTCACATCTCTGCAACATAAGAGACAGACAGGAAGCGATTTCCAGGAGACTGGCTTTCCCAAGTTCATAGTGTTAATTATCAATTTTCCAAGACTTGAACTCACATCCTCCAAGGACCTTGTTCAGCACTTACTGAGGAAGTGCAAAGCACTCCTAGTGGGAACAGGAACCCTTCTGGGCAGATGCCATTTCCTATGGCTCATGTGGGCTGGGCTGGATCATACAGTCAGCCAAGCAAAAAAACAGATGGATTTGGGCTTCTCTTCTCCTCCTCAGGAATGTACTCTCGTACAGGGCACAATGATGTGTGCAGCCCTTGTCTCTGATACCACCTCCTGTGATTCTGTGACTTCACAGTGAGACTTCTAATTCCATTGGTCAGCAAAATCAGTGATGTTATTTAAAGCCAAGCCTCACTTATATACTAATACAGGTTATGAACTCACACAGAAGGAAACTGACATCATAGAAATGTCTCTGGGCATAAATATATCAGCTCTAAGATATGTGTGTCCCACTTTTAGGTGTTTTATGGTCGCTATCAATTTCATAATGTCTTTCAAGTGCAAAAATAATAAGTACACTGCATGTGGTAAGAGTCAAGTGTATACAATGGAATGAAATTTAAATTTACACAGATGCATCGCTTATAAATATCATATTGGATTTACATGCGACCCAGTCTAAGTATTAGTTACTTAGCAGCCATTTTCAGTTACCAAAATGATTATCACAGAATTCCAGAGTTTGTGTTCAAGTAGCCCTTACTTTACTTAATAATGACCCCAAAGCACAAGGGTGGTGACACTGACAATTTGAATATGCCAAACATGTGAAAGACAAAATTTCTTGACTTCATAAGGAAAGGAAAATATTGTATGTTGAAATCACTAAGATCCACAGTACAATAAATTATTTTTGAGTGTGAGATCACATTCACATAACATATATTATAGCATATTGTTACAATTTTTCTCTTTAATTATTAGTTACCACTAATCCCTTACCATGCCTAGTTATAAATTAAATTTTACCAGAGGTATGTGTGCATAGGAAAAATACAGTACACACAGAATTCAGTACTCTATAATTTCAGGCATCCACTGAGGATCTCAGCATGAATCCTCCCACTGGGTAAACTCAAACTTCACCATAGGGCAAGAGATTTGCCTTCCACTTCCCTATTCACCTTACCTTCCTACTCCCCCATGTCAGAGAAGCTTTCTGTATTAACTACATGCTCCCTTCCTGTGAGAGGCTGAGGTAGAAGGTGACTGAAGAGGGAAGAAGAGATCAAATACAAGGGGAGGTCTTAATTCCACTTCCACCACAGAACCCTGAAAGGTAGCAATAGGTCAGAGGCACAAATTCCCAAGAATTAGAGAACCCCCTTGGCTTTTGAGATGCTAACAGTATCTGTTATGGAATCCCACAAGTGTGAAGAAAAGGAGGAAATAATCCTGTAATTACAATAGTTAACAAATAAGATGTGTTTGTGTTATGTACCATCCTAACAGCTTCATACCTGCTAATTCCCTTCATTTTCATGATGCACTGAGGTTTCTTTTGTTAGTAATCCCACTTCACAGGTGAACAAACAGATATAGGCAGAAAAAAACTCATACCAAATCAGTATCTGGAAGAACCTGTATTCAAACCAGAGCCTATGCAGTTACCCACTATTCCTTCCTGCCTCGCGTGAAGAGGCATTTCTATCTGCACGTATACCTTTATTTGCTCACATAAACCCAGATGAGTTCATATAATATCATACCTGAGGAAGCTCCAATCATCTATGAAGAATAAATCCTGTCCTCTTACTGTGCCTCGAAGAAAGGGGGAGAGATCTCCATTTCATGTGCCGCATGGAAGAGGCTTGTGATGTTGGATATCAAAGTTGGCCCTTACACGAGGCAGAATACTTCAAGGAATACCATGAGGGCCATCCTCTAGTCAGAACAGACACGAGTGCCAGTCCCAGTGGCCTTGGCGACAAAGAGAAAATTAACTCACCTGCTGCCAGCCCACAGCTCCTTGACCAGGCATTACAGGGGGTTGGGGGTGTTTGCGAGCTGCTTTTGACACACTCCAGCCTGGCCCTGTGCTCCTGCTGGTCAAGGACCAGCTCTTCTATGCAGCCCTTCCCTCCCTTTCTCTTTCATCAGGATGTCTGGCTGCTGAAACCTCGGGAAGACAAGAAAGGACATCCCAGCCTCATAAATATAACACAGCAAATGGACCTTGTTCTTGGGAAACAGAAAAAATACAGTCTCGTCAGCAAAAGGCCCTTCTTTTAACAAGCGTGGAGCCTGTGGATGGTTAGGTGTGACCCAGTTGTCTTTCCTCCAACCCTCCAGGCTGAGCGCATGAGCCGTTCATCTGCTGTCTCCTCTCACAGGTATTCCTGAAGCCCAGCCTGATACTATAGAATTTGCAAAAAGACTTTGAGCCCAGGGAGGGTCCAAGACAGAGTTGATTACCCTGAGATGAGGGGCGGGACCTAGATCCCCAAAATCTCCCCAAGCTCCACTCAGGCTGAGATGGGGTGGGGCAAAGATCCCTACACCTGTTCCCTGTTGGGCCACTCCTGCCAGCAGTGCCAAGCTGTTTCCAGCAGCTCCTCAGAATGCAGAGCTGAGCAGCTTGAGGAGATAGAATTGATGAGTCTGTGTCTGGGGGGCACTGGCTTCCCAAGAAGTAGCATTATGAGTTAACCCTTTCCTCAAGTGTCCTTCTAGCAGACTTCCTGCACCCAATTAAAACTCTATGAAAGCCAGCCTGCTGTTAGGACATACTCAACAAAACCCAACAGCCCTCAAGTGATGAAGGTTATAATTCCCATTTGTGTCAAAATGCTAGACAAGTGGGTCAAAGCTGGGTCTGTCTGATTCCAACCAGCCACTGCACTATAATGACTCACAAGCACAGGAAAGGGCGACAGTGAAAGGAGGATAAAGACACGAGAAAGGGTTTCCTGGGTAGGCCGCTTAGCAATTGTGGTGCTACAGACAGAACCTTGTGGCATAAAATACTACAGTTTGGATTCTGAATGTCCCCACAGGTCCTGGCTTTAAAGTGGGGTCCCCAGAGTGGCACTATTGAAAGTGATGGTGTCTTTGGGAGATGATGCCTGGTAGGTCCTTAGGTCACTGGGGGGACATCCTGAAGGGGACGCAAGTGTCTCCTTCCTGTCTTTGCATCCTGGTTCATGAGGTGCATGGCTTATTCTACCATTAGCTTCTGCCCTGATGTTTGCCTCACCAATAGCCCTCAGCTATGGGCCCACTCAATCATAGACTGGAACTTGGAGAACTATGGGCCAACATAAACCTGTTTTCTTTATAGGTTACTTTTCTCAGGTATTCCATCATGATAGAAAGCTGACAAAAAATTATTGGGATCTGCATGATTCTTTAAAAATCTCCATGAGCAGAGAGCCTACCAGCTCCCTGCACAGCCCATGTGGTTGTTTCTCATAGGGTAGTCTTACATATCAGTAGGAGTCATAGCACCCAAATATTCTGCCTTCTAACTTGTGTAGACATTAATTGTTTTTTATAACCTACCTCAGGACCTGTGTAAATAGTAAAAGAGAAGCAAGCTGAGCTGAATATCCCAGTGGGTTGGTGATTTGTGAAATTATAACTGGGTGGTCTACAAGGTGTGATTTTTAAAGCTTTTCACTCTTCCTCAACTCTAGGACATGTTGTGGGTCAGTTTGTGACACATCAACTCACTTAATGCTGCCATAAAAACTGGTGAGGGCCCGGAATTTAGCTCAGTGGTTCCAGTGCCTGCCTCACAAGTGCAAAGACCCAAGTTCTAACCCCGGTATGCCCTCCAAAAAACTGGTGAATCACTGATACTCTTTCACAACACTTCATAGGTAAACCTCCCTCTTTTCTTCCCAGATGCCACATCAAACATGAAATCAGCCCCCTCTCAGCAAAGCAAGCCCCATACTGCTTCTGTGGCCAGAGCTCACAGCCTCCTATACAATGGAGGTGCCAAGAATTACAGAAAAACTAACACAGTCTGACCAGAAATAAGTAAGTTAGAAGTGTGTCTGTGTGTGTGTGTGTGTGTGTGTGTTCACACTTTTGTGTGAGAGAGATCAGGATCTTTTGGAGCTTAAAAAAAGCAAGGGAAAAGGGGAAAATACTTTGCAGAGCCCTGGACATGAGTCTTGGAGTTCTGGGTCTTGCTGACTATCTAAGCATGTTTCTGAGCTCTTCTTACTTCCCCTTTCCTGTGAAAGGGAAAGAACCCTGATATAGACACATCAAGTCAATTCAGAGTAATGCTTTTCACAAGTCTAACAGTAACAACTTAGCAATAAAGCCGTGGAACTGTGAATTACCTGCCTGCCCCTCTGAACATTTCCCTATGTAAGCTCCTTTCCCCATGGCAAGGGCAGTTTAAAATTCATCTCTCCTGTCTTATCATGCAGCTGTTACTTAGGTCAGAGGAAGAGATGTCTCCATATCCACAGCTGCCCACAGAGGGTCTTTAATGTCCTACGATTTAGCAGCAGCATCTTTCAATCCTTGTCTCTCAGGATGCTTTATGGGGATAAATGACCCTGTTAAGAGAGACAAATAATGGAGAGAAGACAAATGAAGAAGCATGAGGCTGAGATATGAGAGAAGATACAGAGCCAATGAGGTAGAAATATTAAAAAAAAGAATACAGGCAGCAACAATGACCAAAGTATCTAATCTTCTCATTGAATCAGAATTCCGGCCCCTGGGAGTGGTCTTGTTAGAGTAGACTGGTGAAATTGCCAGAAGTTAGGATCCTCTTTGTTTTCTTGGTCCTAGAAAACATGATATGCAGGACCAAGGAAGGGCTTTTGCACCCAATGAGCCCAAAGTTTGAATCTAAGTCCTATTACTCACCAGCTGTGTGTGCGAGTGCCTCTACCACTCGTGTTCTGTGTTTTGAGAGTCCCTGTGGTGGTGTCAGGATGCTGGAGAGAAAATTGGTTCACAGCAGATGAGGCCAGTTCCCGGATTTCTTTCTTTCTACTGAGTGTGCTTCACAAGAAAAGAGAAACAAGGGGAAAAAATGCTAAAAAACAGAAGATGCAGAGAGAATGGTGAATTCACCTGCTTCACCTTCCCTCCTGATTCACTTAGCCTACTCCCTTCTCTGTGTACAGATTTTTCCCTTTGATCTACCACATCCCAGAATTACCACGTTTGCTTTCCCTCTTTCTCTGCCCTTCTCAAGCTTCCTCTTCCCTTATTCATACAGTGTATGTTTGCAGCAGCTGCCCCAACAGTGCACCCTACTGGGTATTCACAGCTGGTGCAGCCC